GGGGCTGATGGCTGTTTTCAGGCTGGCCACACATTCTTTAGGATGAGGGGTCCCCACTGGGGTGCCTGGCCATTCTGGGTGAGGGACTGAGGGCCATTTTCAGGCTGGCCAAGCCCCCCGGCAACAGAAGCTCCCAGCCTCTCCTTTTTTTTATTTTTTACTCTTGGATTTATTTACCTTCTATAATTGAAACTTTGTAGCCTTGAGTAGAGCTCAGAGCCAGCCAGGGTGGGCAGGAAGCTTGGCTTCCTCCATCGCCAGGGGCAACCCAAGCCTCTTGCTCACTCCAGCTCCGTGGCCACAGCCGGCTGAAAGCAGGTATCTGGGGTTTATTTATCTTCTATAATTGAAACTTTGTTGCCTTGATTGGAGTTCAGTGCCTGCCACGGCAGGCGGGAAGCTTGGCTTCCTCCATCACTGGGGCAACCAGGTCTCCTGCTTGTTCCAGCTCTGTGGCTGCTGGCCACCATCTTGGTTGGGTTAATTTGCATATAGTTGCTCTTGTTGGCTGGTGGGCGTGGCTTAAGGCATAGCGAAGATAAGGTCAATTTGCATGTTTGTCTTTTATTAGTGTAGATTAGGAGGGGTGATAGAGAACAAAGATTAAAGTACATCACGGGTTAACATAAAGCTGAGGAACAGACTCAATTACAGTCTTCAATTTTGTAATTCTCAGGAAAATATCTGTTATCGAGGTAATTGCAATAATTTGACAAGTGAGAGAAGCCGCCATCTTGGCCTGTGTGGCTTTAATTTGAAATGTGCGGCTCACAGACTTGCAGGTTTCATCTGGAAGGAGTCGGGGAATCTGAGTAAATCGGTGCGCGCTGCTCGCATGTTGAAAAGAAGCTGATTTACGACATTTTCAACTTTGGTTTCTTAGGTTTCAAAGGGCTGCTTTGCTGTGCAAAGCCACCAGGTTCATCAGCTTTGCTAGGGCCTCATTAGGCCTGAAATTACTGGGGGAAATCAGGTAAAGCAGATTGTAAATGCAGTTTTAAAAGGTTAAAAACCTTTTAATTCACTAAGTTGTAAATGGAACTAATTTACAGTAAATTGTTTAGGAGATTTTAATCAGTTAAACTTTAGGTAACAAACCATTAATCAAATAATGAAAGTAAAATTATGTTTATGCAAAAATTACTGGCTTTATAAATAGAGCAGCAGTATTTATATATTAAAGGCTTAACGAAATCTCCGTTTTAATTTTTACATTTTTAATAAATTCAACATTAATGTAGAGCCCCGAGGAACTATGAATAATCCTGCTCGTGCATAAAATGAAAAGATTAAAAAGCGCAGCCTGCGGTTGTGCGTGGTGGCTCTGCTGGTCCCGGGGGTAAGAGACAGTGCCCCCAGCATCTGCTCTGCAGGAGCTCAGAGTCTACATCAGAGAGTGCAGCCCAGGGCAGGGGACCACGCCAACCCGGACACAGGAAAGCGTCCAGCAGGTTTCCTCATCGGCACTGTGGCCTCACACCAGGGCCAGCATGGACGTCCTTTAGTTTTATTTTCACTTTGGTTCCTATCCCAGGGTTCTGGTCATGCATTTTCTCCATCCCACATTTTAGTGAAACCATCTGGGCTGTGTTCAGAATCACGGACACCTTGGATCTAAGACTCCAATGTCCAACTACCAAGAGTGTGGGCAACCTAGATCTTGGTAACAGATGGCATCTCCACAGAAAGGCTGCACTTCTTAGTGTAACCACTAGGTGTCCCCAAAGAGGATAAATATAAAACCACTGAGATCAAAGTAGTGTTGTTTTTTTTCCTAAGAAACATAATGTATTTCTATATGCAAATAAGTACCTGTGCAATCCTTTGGTAAAGACCCAGGTTCTAAACTAAAAGAACCTCTACTAACTCAGTCCAAAGGAAACCACACCACTTTTAACACCAAAAGCTGACCTGCATACGATAGTTTGGATTTGGGCACCTGTGGATGAACAAAATGCAAAGATATTTAAAAGCACTGCAAATACTCGGCAGCTTTTTTCCATTCTGCATTTTTTAAATTGCATATCATCTGTGTACATTTGAAAAATAATAGCAGATCTATACTAATAAAAGGGTAATATGCTAATTAGACTGGGAGACCTTCCAGACAAAGCCATGGTGGCGGGGCTGAGGCAGAGGAGGCTAGGGGCAATCAAGCCGGCGTAGTTGTGGGTGATCAGGCCAGGATGGGATG